CTTGGGTAGCTGGGTGTTGTATCTGCAGCAAGCACCAGCTGACAGTGTCTCTCAAAGTGGAAATACTTGTAGATTGCTGTGCTCTCCACTTGCAGTTCTTTATGGCAAGTGTCTCCTGCTGGCTTTCTGAGCATCCAGGGAATGGTTTTTAAAGCAAAGAGTATCTGCTTTGCTTTAAAAAAAAAAGAAAAATTCCTCTTGTTTCTGCAGCAGTGGAAAAAAGTGCATGAAAGGCAATTTGATTCTATTTATTATGTTAAAAAGGAAGAAGCGAGCCACCTCTGTTCTTGTCATGATTTGAGGAGCATTGTGGTAGTGGGAGTGGGTGTTGCTGCGTTTGTGGCTCTGTGGGGGTGAGGATGAAGCAGGGAATGTTGCAAAGTTCTGTTGGGAGTGTTGGAGCTCCTCCAAGGTCCTGCACTGTTCCAGGGCACAAAAACAGAGCCCAGCTTCCCCCTCTGTGCTCCTTTGCCATCGGCAGTGCCAAGATCTCTCTCTGTCTGCTGTGCAAGGGATTTGCTGCAGGAGATTGTGGGAGAGCTGGGGCACTGAGCCCTGGTCACTGTTGCAGGTTTTTGAGGGGAACATGGACTATGGCACCATGAGGACCAACATGTTCAACCCTCCCATCACGGCGCAGTTCATCCGCATCTACCCCGTGATGTGCCGCCGCGCCTGCACGCTGCGCTTCGAGCTCATCGGCTGCGAGATGAACGGTAAATGCCAGTGCTGTCCCCTCCCGGGGGCTGCAGGGCAGGGGGTGACACGGGGCAGGGCATCACCCCTTGGCCTGCTTCTGATTCCTCAGGACAAGGGATTTGGCAGTGCTTGTTTTTCCTCACGCTGGTGCCTGGGCATACCCAGGGGTGTGTTTGGGGAGCACAAGCCGTTAATCCCATCCAACTCGAGCTGAGTTCTCATGCTGTTAACACCTTCCCAAGCCAGGAGTTTTTACTGTGTCCCCTCCCCGTTTGAGTTGTGAACCCGCTGCTTTTCCTGCTGGAGAGCTTGAAAAGCAGCGGAGGATCAAAGTCCTCTGGGAAATGTAAGGGATCATCAGCCTGAGCCCTTTCCCTGTGCCTCCTGCATTCCTGCCCTGCAGCACATCCCTGGGAACTGAGTGGGACTCGTGTGTCAGCGTGGGAGTGGGATGCTGCGGGGGCTTGGGTCCTGTCCTGCTGCTGTGTGGGTGTGGTGCCATCCGTACTTTTGGCTGGGGATATCTTTTTGTTGCTCTTTCCACATCCTTCTCTGCTTCCTGCCAAAGCTTTCTGTATTCCAGGGCTGGGCTGGGCTGTGCTGTGCTGTGGGGACATCTACTCATCTCTGCAGCAGGAGGCACTGTGAGCCAGGGAATAGCTGGGAGCTAAAAATCCCGGGAAAAGACCGCCCTGCTCATCTGCTGAGCATTTCCCTGCCTGGCCCCGGTGCCGCTCTGGGCAGTGGAATGAGAATGTGGGGATGGCTTCTGACTGGTCTGCGGGGTTTTGCTTGCAGCGGTCCTGTTGTCTCTTTCCTTTTCACTGCCTGTGTAAACTGTTGTGTTACAGTGTATTTCAACACGGCAGGTTGCTCGGAGCCTCTGGGCATGAAATCCCGCCTCATCTCGGACCAGCAGATCACAGCCTCCAGTGTCTTCAAGACCTGGGGCATCGATGCCTTTACCTGGCACCCTCATTACGCTCGCCTGGACATGACGGGCAAAACCAACGCCTGGACAGCCCTGAACAACGACCAGTCCGAGTGGCTGCAGGTGGGTCTCTGGTCTCTGTAACCTCATGTCTCCTCACTGGCTCCTCAGCTGTGCCTAGGGCCACCTCCTGTTTCAGGGTAGTTGGAACAGCTGGATTGGTGTGACCAGAGCCTTGTTGTGGGTCACAATATCCAGCAGTGCTCTTCCTGAGTGGGGATCACAGGGACAGGTCAGGATGGGATCACAGCCACCCATTTTAACAGCAGTCCTGGAGCTCTGGGTCAGAATCAGCCCATAGGAACAAGGTGGTGCCGTATCTGCACCTTCTTTGTGGGGTGCATCAAGCCTGCAGCACCCCAGTTCTGTCTCACCCCCTGAGGAAATGCCATCTCAGCCTGGAGTGACCGTCCCACCACCCTCTGGCTGCCCAGAACACCATGTTTCTGTTTTGCACGAAAAAATCAGGCTTGCTTTTCTCAGTCTGGAATAGAAGCAAATAGTTTTGAAATTTCCTTCTCAGTTTCTCTTGCTCCCCTGTTTTTGTACTTTTCACATGATTCCATGACATAATAGGACAAAGCAGTTTAGATATTTGTCCCGGTTTTTATTTGGGAAATGATTAAAAGCAGCTGTCTCACAACTCTAAATAAACCAGCTTATCGAGACATTGGCTGATGACAGGGTCAGGATGACACGCTGAGCTGGGCTATTGCACCACAGGCTGCCTGTTTGTGTATGTGTGTATAGATTTACATGTACACTCAGGATTAATGTGTATTGTATAGCTGGAATTGCCCTCTATGAGCATGAAAACAGAACTAAATTAATGAGGCTTTCAGCTCCTTTGGTGGTTTACCCTGTAATGTGCCAGCAGCAGTAAACACAGTGTGGCAGAGTAAAGAGAATAGAAAGCATCTCGCTTAGAACCCAAATGTCAGATTGTGTTGAACTGCATATTTTCTCAGCTAGAATTACTTTCCAGTGGAAATGCATTTCCTCTGTGAATCCTGTATTTTTTTTTTGAGTTGAGATTTTTTGCTGTCCTTCCCACACTGGTGTTTCCGGCAAAAAATGTGGAGGTGGCAGGGGTGGGCAAGGGAGCTGAGATGGGTTTGTGCCCACTTTTGGTTGCTTTGAGGGATGCTGTTGAAGGAGTGTTGAAGGATCAAATATTTCACAGTCATGTTTTATGATTTGTCTGGCATGGGGTCAAGTGGTGTTTTCTCCATTCTTGACCCCTGAGGGCCAGCTCTTCCTGGCTGCCTCTAGAGCATGAAGGGTGCTGTAGGGTGGGAGCATCGCTCCTGCAAGGAGCTGTGACAAGCCTTGTCTCTGCCAGATTGACCTCCGGGACCAGAAGAAGGTGACAGGCATCATCACACAAGGAGCCCGTGACTTTGGGCACATCCAGTATGTGGCAGCTTACAAGGTGGCCTACAGTGACAACGGCACGTCCTGGACCCTGTACCGGGATGCCCAGACAAACAGCACCAAGGTGGGTGTGGGGAGGGCAGGGCGATTTCCCAGGGCTCAGGCATGCCATGGTGGGGAGGGATGAGTGGTGGGGCAGAAGTCACAGATCACAAAAATGTGCTGAGTTGGAAGGTACCCACAAGGGTCATTGAGTCCAACTCCTGGCCCTGCACAGGGCACCCCAAGTGTCACACCGTGTGCCTGAGAGTGTTGTCCAAAGTCTTCTTGAACTCTGTCCGTCAGTGCTGTGACCGCTGCCCTGGGGTCCTGGCAGCACCGATAACCCACCTTTCTCCTCTAGATCTTCCATGGCAACAGTGACAACTACTCACACAAGAAGAACGTGTTTGACGTGCCCTTCTACGCCCGCTACGTCCGCATCCTGCCCGTGGCCTGGAACAACCGCATCACCCTGCGCGTGGAGCTGCTGGGCTGCGATGAGTAGGCACGGGGAAGAAGGATGGGGCTGCTCTTCCCCGCTGCCCAGCCTGCACCCTGCCTGCCCCTGCCCACTCCTGCTCTGACCTCACACCCCCCTCTCCATGTCCCCACACTCAGGAGGCAGCCAAGAGGGCTCCCCTGCCGCGCGTTGGTGCTGGGGCTGCAGCACTGCACTTTACGGGGCCCTTGCAGGTGGGATGTGGGGATGGCTCTTGCCCTCTTGCTGCTCCAGCCAGGGCTGACACCCCCTCCTGCAACTGGGGCTTTCTTGGGGACACCATCCCGCAAATGAGGCCATGCTGGGGGACCCTGTCCTGCAACCAGGGCTTGGCTTTCTCTTCTCAGCCAAGCCTGGGGATAAATTTTCTCTTTCTTGCTTCTGCTTCCAGCAGACAAGCTGTAGCCAGTGGCAGTCCCTTGCCTGAGCTGTGTCTTGGGGCTCAGCAGTTTTCAGGGTCTTAGGGCAGGCTCCCCTGGCTTGTAGCCTTCAATGTCCCTCCTGCTCCCTGCTTGTCTGCAAGCAGGGGGTGTGAAAATCCTCTGATTTGTCCCCTGCTCATTTTGCCAGGCCCTGAGTCTCCTTGCCTGCGATGTCAGCACCACATAGTGCGAGTGGAGTGATGAGACAGCTCCTGTCAAGAGGCACCAGATCCCCACTGATGGTGGCTCTACCTGCTGGGTTACTCTGGCAGACACCACAGTGGGCATTTTGGCAGGCACTGCCCATTCCCCTTCCTGGGATGCCAGCTCCAGCAGCCTCCCAAGTGTCAGCATTGCCATCATCCCCACTTTACTGCAGTTTGGCATGCCTGGCCATCCCTTGTCCTCAGACCCAGTGGTGACCGGGGGACAATGATCTGGTAGTGGGGAGAGTTGGTTTGTAGCCAGAAGGATGCAAAGAAAAGATGGGAGAGGTGGTAATAAAACCACCCAAATGCAGTGGGCAGAGAGCCGTGCCACGACCCTTTTTGTAACCTGATTTTTTTCCCTTGACATGGAGTGGAGGGGAGCCTCTTGCAATGCTCAAGCCCTTGGGATTAGCAGTAGGAGATGAGTGAGTCCCAGGTGGGAGCACGGGCAGGCTGTCCTGGGCTGGCAGCAAGGCTTCCCCTGCCTGCTGGGATGTGAAGCAGCCATGGGGCTGGGCTGGCAGTGGGTTTGCTTTGGCAAGGGCTGAGGGAGCCCGAGTGGGATGGCAGTGATGGCCCCACTCTGGGGTGTCTCTGACAGTATTAAAACCAGCTGAAACTTTTGGGGGTGTTGGCTCGTCTGCTCTGTGTCTCCCCAAAGGCCATCTCCCAAAGCCTGGCTGGTCCGGTGATCCGCCAGGATTCCCTCTGAGCCCCTCGACTCCTCCACCCTGGGGGCTGCTGTGATGGCCCTGCACCTCTCCTGCCTTCACAGACCCTCCTACCTCCCTTCCCTGGCTGAAAAACAGGGTATCTCAGGGCTTTGTGTGCATCTTTCCCACCGTCTCCACCCTGTCCCAGCTGCTGGAGACTGCTCACAGCTGGCCAGGCGCGGCGGGATGGGACTTGGGGAGGGGAAGCCTCTATCAGCACCCACACCCTGTGTCTCCTCCTTTGGCTTTGATCCTGGAGCAAATCTCCCAGCTTGGAGCTAGATCGGCTCTTACACCCAAGCATGCTCCCAGGGCTGGAGGGAGCTGTGAATTTTGCAAGAGCTGCCTGTGGGGATGTTCTCAGCAGAGCCCTCTTGGGGAGGGCTGGGGCATGGATGCTGCTGGAGCAGGATCTGCCTGCATTGAGGGTGTGATCCCATGTAGGGAGGGGGCATTGTGGTGTACAGGAAAGAGGAGCTTTGCTCATGTCCAGAATCTGCCACACTGGGCAGGGACCCCTGAAGGTGGCATGAATAGCCAAGTGTCATCTATGTCTTACCACAGCTGTCTGTCCCTGCAATTCTGGACAATCTTCTGCACCTCCCTGCGGCCAGCAGTGCCCTGCTCAGCCAGGCATCTCCTCCTTGGGCCTTGCCTATGGGAGGTGGGCTCTTGCCTTGCCCTGGGAGTGCGAGCCGTGGGCATCAGAGGAGCTGGGGATCTGCTTGAGAAGACTGGGCTGAATTCATTATGGCTGTGGCTGCAGCTGCTTGGTGACAAATAGCAGCCACAGACAGAGACAGGGACAGGGGGGACAGTCTACCCAGTTCACCTCCAGACATGCTACCCTTATCATCGGGAAGCTGAGGCAGAGATAAGAGCAGTTCGCTTCGAGTCCAGCCAAGGCAGCCGTGAGCCAGGGATATGGCAGAGGCTCCATGAGGAGGGCGATGGGAGCAGATGCTGCATATCAGAGCGGGGGATGCATCCTCAGCCCCTGGCTGCTGCTCCCCCTGCCCATTGCTACCCCCCAAGCAAGCCCCTCTGATGGGTTCTGAGCCCCTTCTCAGCCTTGCGGCATTTCCTTCATTCCCCAGAGCTGCAGGATGGGGGCACTGGGAGAGCCAGAGTGCCCTCCTCGCCTTGCACAGCCCCTCATGGCTTGTCCCTGTCCCTCGGATGCTCTTCCTGGATGTGGCTGGGTTGCTGGGACAGCAGGAAGGCTGGGATGGGATGGCTGGCATGCTGCGGCACCCTGCTGACTGCTGCCAGCTGCTGGGAGCTGGTTCCTCAGGAAGCAGCCGTCGGGGAGAGCATCCTCTCATCACCACCCGGAAAGCCCAGCACAGATCACAAACTCCTCCATCCCTCCAGGAATGTGAGTGTTCCTGCTGGAATCATCCTGTGCAAGCAGCATTTCATGGACAAATCTCTGTGGTGAGGCCACAGCAGAGCTGTCAGGCGCTGGCTTTGAGGTGGGGAAGATGGGGATGACACTTTTATGGCTCCCATTCAGCCAAATGCTCAGCCAGCCCTAGGCACGTGCCCTAAACATGTGCTCCCAGGTCAGAGCTTCCCTGTCACTGCACAGCTTTGCTCAACCTGAAACCTGTGGTCACACCCAGGGTACATCTCTGGGAATAGAAAACAAAAAGAGGATGAGAGAAGGAAGGGAAGGAATGAAGGAGACTCCTTCTTCCTCAGGGTCTGCTGGTGCCAGATCCTTCCTCACGCCTCTGCTCCCTAGGAGGAGATGGAGAAATCACTGGCCACGACCAGACAAGAGTGGCTTAATGTGAGGCAGGAGTTGTTGCTGAAAAGAGGTGCCAGGAGGCACCCCTGTCCCCTTCCCTCCTGCTGCTCCCCTCCTCAGGCCGGGCAGAGGATGGCTGCTGGCAGGTGCTGTGGTGCAGGCAGTGCGGGACACTGTGGGGTTTGTTCCTCACTTCTGGAACAATGGGATAGCCATGCCAGGGAGCAGCGTGCCCCAACAGGGCTGTCTGCTTTCTGCACAGCCCGGGGGCGGAGGGAACCATCCCAACTGCTGGATCACTGAAACAACTTGGGCAAGCAGCTGCAGCGGGGCACTGACGGCCAGGATGCAGCTGGGACACCATCCCATCACCTCCTCCGGCCAAGTGGCAGGGCTGGGGGTAGCAGGGACCCTCGGCCAGGATGCAGGCAGTGCAGTGGCCCCATGCCGGAAGATTTAATTGTCCCTCCATTGTGGGCAGGCGGGCAGGCGGCGCGCCCGGCCGTCACACTCCCGTGTCCCGGGGCAGCCCGGCTCCGCCGCGTCCCGCCTCGGGCAGCTCTGGCACGGCTGCGATTGTGCAGGCAAAAGGAGAACAAGGAAGAGCAGTGCTTCCAGACCGTGGGTCCCGCAGCCATCCCTGGTCGGGGCTTCCCACGGGGAGCACGGGCTGTGGTGCCGGCGCTGGCGGCAGATAACGCCGTTTCCTCGCTGGCTGCTCGCTATCAGCGCGGCGGCGACGGGCAGGCAGGATCGCACCCAGAGCAATCCGTGCTGGGCGCTGTCGGGAAGGGCTCCTGGCCCCCTTCACCCCGCAGCCAGCCTCGGGCCGTTTATTTTTACACGGGTTGTTTTCTTTCCGGCTTGAAGCCATCCTGCACGGCGGCAAGAGCTGGACCGGGGCCTCCACGCCTCATTTCCTTGCCGTAAAAAAACAAAGTGGGGGGTGAAGCAGCGCACTGGACTGGGACAGCGGGTCGATGGGTCAGGGCACACGCCGCATCGTGGTTCCTCTGTTTGTCCCTTCTGTCTATCCCCTGAGCGGCATCCCCTGGCGGTGCCGCGGCCGTGCTGCCCTTCCTGAGGACTCGATCTCCCTGGAGCTGTATCTGCCTGACTGTGTGCCAGTGGGAGCTGGCATGGAGGGCATCACCCCAGTTTAGGGATGATGCCCCCACAGATGGGTGCAACTGGGCACCCCAGAGTTTTTGCCCTCGTTTCTGTACCTCTGCTTTGTCCCCACAGCATCAAGAAGACCCTGAAGAGGCTGAACCCTGCAGCTCAGCTGTCTCTGTTGAATTCCAGAACTGGCAGACACTGGGCACAGATCACTCCGTGCCACAGCCCACCTGTCCCAAGCTGCTTGTGCCTGTAGTGCTCCTGCCACATGTGTGTTGGGCACCTCCTTTGTCTGGAGACTGTGGCCAGTCCCCTCCAGTGGGATGTGGGACAAGGGATGTCTCATCTTCCCTGGCACTGTGACTTCACCAGAGCTTTGCTTGGGACATCACAGGATCCCAGCAGCCCCAACGGGCAAGTTTTTCCCCACTGCTCCCCCTTCCAAGCCGGGGGCAGTGCAGGCAGCTGGCACACTGCAGATAAGGTGTGTGAACAGCGTGTGGGCAGAATGTGGGCAGTGTGTGGACGCACAGTGAGGCCATCACCCAGGCACGGTGGGCAGGGGGGGCTGGGGGCACCCACCCCAGCTCTGGGCTGCGAGCAGGGGGTTGGGAAAGGCGTGTGTTTCCCTTTAAGAGGCAGGCCCTGGAGCTGCTTCCTCTCAGCCTTGCAAGAGCCCTAAACACAGTGCATCTGCCTGCAGCCTGCCCGCACGCCTGCCTGCAGCCTGCCCGCAACCAGCGTGAGTAGGGCTTGGCCCCAGTGCCGGGACTGGGGAGGGCTGGCACCGCGGGGCGATGGGCACCCTGCTTGCCGCAAAGGGCAGGGGGGGATGGCATTGCCATGGAGGGAGCCCGGCATCACTGCAATAGGTGCCAGGCATCACTGTGCTGGTTGCTGCAGCACGACGCTCACGGCGCTGCAGCTGAGAGCACTGGCCACGCTGCACGTCACTGCAACGCTGGGTTCTGGGGGGGTCACCAGGCATTGGGGTGCAGGGGGACCAGGGCTGATGCCCTGCAGACCGAGGTGTGAAGCTGCCGTGCCTCGAGCCCACCCTGCGGCGCGTGGGCAGCACGTGGCGGTGTCCCCGCGGCTCCGGTGCCAGCAGCGCCGCGCGTCTGTGCCAGCTGCCGGGGCTGTGCCGGCGCTCCAGCGGGTGCACCCTGCGCCCCCGGGCACCGGCTCTGCTGGCCCCAGTGGGTGGCAAGTGTGGCTGCACCCCATGGTGAGCAGAGGCACTGACTGCAGAAGAAAGTCTGGGATTGAGCAACCTGCGGTGGGAGCAGCCTGTTTCACGCCCCCGACCCTGGAGAGCACCACCGAACCCCGTGTTGGACCCTTCCGGGTTGAGCATCTGCTCTCCCACAGCCCCCTGGCCCTGGGTATGCTTGCAGGCACTCGTGAGCCCTGTCTAAGCAGGGCACAGATGTCAGAACCGCCCCCCCCCGGGTTGGAAGGGGTCTGCCGGAGGCTTGCCGGGTGCCGGGCCCCCTCTGCCGGCTCCCGGAATGCTCACAAGTAGCCAATTCCGCTGGTAGCACCCTGGGCGAGCCCCGTGCAGGGCACTCTTGGGTGTCCTGGCCCCCAGAACTCGGGACAGTGCACATTCCTGGTGTCGTGGGGTAGCCAGGCTACCCCCCACCGATGGGACGTGCTTTGGCAGCCAAATGTGTTTCATGGGGTCTGTGCCAGCCATGTCTGTGATGCAGAGCAGCAGCCCTGGGTTGGACTAGGGGGTCCTTGTCCAGGACAGTGAGCTGGGCTTTGTCCAGAGCCGGGGTAGCAGAGGCAGCCCGAGCTCTCTCCCCCACTCCTTGGTAGGGTTGCACGCTCGGCTGCCTCTTGTAAACCGAGCTTGCTGCTTTGCAGTGGGGCTCAGCCACTTCTCTCCCCCTGCACCCCTACGTGACCTTTTCCCAGTACTCCCTGTCCAAAGGACACCCTGGGATCCTATTCCTCCAGCTGCCCCGTCCCCGACTGCTCTCGGGCCAGGTGCTCCCCGCAATGGGCACCCCGACAATGGGCAGCAGCGGGAATGTTGAGGTGTGCGGAATGTGGAGGAATGTTGGAGGCTCAGCCAGGCGGGAGGATGAGGATGGAGGGGACTGGGAGCACCGGCTGCGGGGCGGGTCTGAGGGCATGGCTCAGGTTGCCTGCACCCTCCCCTGCGGGCAGGCAAACTGCTCTGCTGGCTCTTCCCACCCTCTCCTTGCACTCCTGGTATGGAGTCTGATTGGCACTACTGCCAGGCAGTGCTGGCTTTCTCCTGGCTATTTGGGGGTGTCACAGCAGTTCTTTCCCCCTCTGCAGCCCGGGCTTGCTTCCCAGCCATGCTGCTGCTCCCACTCCTCCTGAAGGTCACCCTGCTGCCCCTGGCCAGTGGCTCCTACCACCCCTTCTACAACGGCTTCTACTACAACCACATCATGAATGACAATGGCGATGAGCAGGACAAAGGTATATCGGGGACAATGGGGGCTGGTGGGTTGTCACAGGAGGCTGAAGTACCCCCCTGCCTCTGGGTAGGGTGGAGACCCATCACTTGGTGGGATGTGGGGCCCAGAGGAGCAGGTGGGAACGCTTCAGGGATACTTGGGGGATGCTCATGGTAGAAGAGGTGGTGGCTGGAGGGAAGGTTTGGGGATGCTGCCCAGCCCTGGATCCTGACCTGCCCGTCACACCTTCCTTCTTCCCCCCAGTGGATTACTTCAGCGGATCCAAACTAGTGGTGGAAGCCTCCAAAGACCCTGTCTACAGCTACAATGGTGCCAATGTCACCCTGCCCTGCCACTACCGCTATGAGCCTGACCTGGAACCCAAGCGCAAAATCCGCATCAAGTGGTCCAAGCTGAGGGACGACTACACCAAAGAGCAGGATGTGATGGTGGCCATTGGCAAGACCTACGTGGCCTTTGGGGACTTCAAGGGCCGTGCCCACATCCGTCAGGCTGGTGAGGCCAGCTGGCACGAGGCCTCGCTGGTCATCAGCGATGTGCGCTTGAAGGACGATGGCAAATACCGCTGCGAGGTCATCGATGGGCTGGAGGATGAGAGCGATGTTGTGGACCTCCGGCTGCAAGGTGGGAGCATGCTGGGGACCACACCACCCTCTGCGCCAAGCCAGTGAGCGTGGCCTTCCTGTGGTACCTTCTCCTTTGGGGACACAGCAGGGCAGGGGGTTGGGGAGCTTGATCATGGCAGAAAGGGGCTGGGATGCTTGGTGGAATGGGACAGTGGCTTGGGGCTGTCTAGCTCTGGCCTCAGGAGTATGTGAGCCCAGAGCTGTCTGCTGGGACACCAAGGGTGCTGTTGGAGCCACAGTTGGGAGTGACCCCATGGCCGCAGCATTTCCTGCCTTTACCCACCCATCTTCCCACTGTGCGGCATTACGTGGAGCTGTCCCCTCCCCTCCCAGCTCTGCATATCCCGATGCATCTTATGATGATCCTTGGTGACTGGTCCAGCCTCTCTTGCTCACTTGTCATGAGGGACCTGACTCAGCCCTGACACTGCTTTGGAGCTCAGAGCTGTGGAAATGTCCCCATTGCTTGTCCCTGCCCCACCTCCTTGGTCCCTGGCCCTGCCTCCCACAGTGACTCGTCCCTCCCAGTCCTTGTGACTGTGTCCAGAGTGGTGATGCCCGTGGTTCTGTTGTCCATCCGTCTCCACGATAGAGGTTCATTCATCCCCATGCTGGTGGTCCATGTGTCCCCTGGGATCATGGGGATGCCGACCCTTGTATCCCTGCTCCTGAAGCCTGTGCATCTCCATGACAACGATCTCTCCATCCCCGCAGGGGTGGTCCATGCCTCCCTGGGACCACTGTCTTTGTGTTCCCAGGACGGTGGTCTATACAACCCCATGGTGGTGGTCTCTGCATCCCCATTATAGTCTGTGCATCCCTGTATATGCAGGTGCTGTCCCCGTGAGGGGGTCCTTGTGTCCCCAGGACCGAGCCCGTGTGTCCCTGTGCCACCAGATGTCGCTGGCAACTCGCTGCTGGCGCCTGCATGTTCAGAGCGGCCCCATCCCTGCATGCCTGAGCCTTGTCTCCGCCACACGGAGGTGGTCCCCGTCCCAGAGCCTGAATTTGGCACGGGTCAGGGACCCCTATGGCTCCTGCTGGCTCTGGACTCGGGTTGGGTGGGCTGCCCACGGAGCCAGCTGAGTGTCCCATCTGCCTCCAGGCATCGTGTTCCCCTACCAGCCTCCCCGCGGGCAGTACAGGCTCAATTTCCACGAAGCCGAACAAGTGTGCCAGGACCAAGGTGCCATCCTCGCCAACTTTAACCAGCTCTTCCAGGCGTGGAGCGAGGGGCTGGACTGGTGCAACGCGGGCTGGCTGGCCGATGGCACGGTGCAGTACCCCATCCGCCTGCCCCGCAAGCCCTGCGGGGGCGTGCACCTCGCCCCGGGCATCCGCAGCTACGGCCCGCGGCACCGGCACCTCCACCGCTTTGATGCCTTCTGCTTCTCCTCCGCCCTCAAAGGTGAGTTCTGGGCCAGGGAGGGGAGTGGGATGCTGGGGAATGTGCTGTGCGCCCCTCCCTCTTAGGGCACAGGACTTGGCCTGGGTGGGGTTGTTCCAGGCATTCCAGATGGGGATGTCCGGGATGATGCTCGTCTCTCAAGCTCCGCTCTCCCTTCTAGGAGAGGTTTTCTACCTGGACCGCCTGGCTGGGATGACGCTGGAGGAGGCCAAGCAGAGCTGCCAGGATGCAGGGGCCGAGATCGCCCGGGTGGGGCAGCTCTACTCCGCCTGGAAGTTCGTGGGGCTGGACCGCTGCAATGCCGGCTGGCTGGCAGATGGCAGTGTCCGCTACCCCATTGTCACACCCCGGGCCAACTGTGGCCCCGCGGAACCCGGTGTCCGCAGCTTCGGCTTCCCCAGAAAGGGCAGGTTTGGAGTCTTCTGCTACAGAGAGAGATAAGGAGCCGGGAGGGATCCTTCTTGGACAAAGGATGTTTCCAGCCTGCCAGTGCCCAGTGTCGGGCATTTCCAAGGGCTGTTCTGGGGGTGACTGGGGGGAGGTGGGATGGGGGGAGGTTTCTTTTTGTTTTGTTTTGTTTCCTTCCTTTATATTTTCCACATCTTGCTCAGCAGCTGGCACTTGCAGCTGCTTGGGGTGGCTGCCAGCCGGGCAGCGTGGGACAATCCCTGTGGTGGGATGTGTTCAAGGATGATCCCCATGGGCTACTGCTGCCACCCCACTTGGCCGTGCCACCCCATGGGTGGTGACCCCTTCCTGTGGTGGCAGGCTGTCACTGACACACACCTGCCCTTCCAGGCTGGTCCTGCCTCCCAGCTCATGAGGCAAGGCCACGAGGGAGCGAGGCAAGGCTGGATTTGGCCAGAGCAGAGAGCAGGTATCTCCATTGCATCCTGGCCCCTCTTCCAGCCCCATCCATGTCCCGCTGAAGGATACCATTGTGCCTATCTCTGCTGGAGCACAAGTGCCTTATCTCTATGTGCCCCTTGCCTGAACTCCATTTGAACTCTGGTGCCTTCTTCTCTGAGCATTGGCTATGAAAAGATGTGTTTTTCTGGACATCTTCTAATAAAATGGTGGAGAAAGCCCTGGAGTGACATGGCTGTGTCCCCATCTCTGTCCCAACACGAGAGAAAGGTCTGCTCTGGAGAAAGGATTTGGGGATCCCTGGCTGTCTCATCCTTGGCTGAGTATCGTCTCATTAGTGCTGGCTCAGCTCAGCTCCTACAATGAACTCGTGTTCCCTCATTAGTGAGTGTTAATTAACCCCCTGGGTGTCAGGACTGAAAGCTGGAAGGTGAAGCAGTTCCTACTAGTCATGGGTTTTAGATGGGTTTTAGGCATGTGGGTTAACCCCCTCCCAAACTGACAGCTGAACAGGGAGGGCAGTATCCTTCTCCAGGATCCTTCTTCAGTGAGGGCTTGGGACACCCCTCCCACCTCCGTGGTCCCTTGGGTGCTGCCTGGGGCTGAGCCATTCCTGTGTAGCTTGGAGCACCCTCTTTGGGTTCCACTTCCTTCCTTTTTGCCTTGCCATGGGAGACCCCTCTCTTCCCAGCCCACCGGCCATCCCTCTTCCCTATAAAAAAAACCAACACTGACGAAGTGCCCACTCTGATTTAGCTTTCTTTATTATTTATCATTCTTTCAAAATAGGATATGTTCAAAAATATAAATAGGTGCAGGGAACGCTGGTGCCCCGCACGGTCCCCTGGAAAGAGCACGTTGTCCCAGGACGAGTGCTGTGCTGCAGAGGGGGCAGTGGGGAAGCAGAGACCCTATACAGCCCCCAGCACCTGGGTCCTGGGTCTCAGCATCCCCTCATCTCCCTCCTCCTACAGCTCCTTCCACCACAGCCCCCCAGCCCTCCCCACCCGTCCTGACATGCTGCAGCAGTAGAAGGATTCTGGAAAAAAAAATAAAAATAAAACCCCAAAAGGTGCTGTTCACCCTGGAGATTAAATAACAGAAATAATTACATTGTTCGTGGATAAAATCAGGAAAAAATAATCATCTTTATTATTTAACTTAACCCCCTGCCCTTTGCAAACCCACCCCCCTCCCTGTCCCCAAAGGCACGAAGATAATTGGAACCGGACGGTTAGTAAAAATGCTGAGATCTAATTCGTTTTGCTTTGGTGCTTGGAAAAACAAATTTTTTTATATATATACACAAAGGTGGGTTTGTCTTTAATATAATTTTTTTTCCTTATATGACAAAAAAGCAACAAGAAGAAGAAGAAATCGACTCTGTTAATATAACTGTTCCGTTAAAAATCTCTCTTTCTCGCTTTCCCCCTCGGTCTCTCGCCCCGCTCTAATGGGCGCGTCTGTGCACGGCGCTGCCGCTGGCTTTCGACCGGCTCCTGGGGCTCCTCTTGTATAGCCTGCGCTGGTAGCTGGAGGCTGTGGAGGAGAAGAAAAGGCACCTTGTTGGCAGGAGCCGGGACAGAGAAGCTGCTTGTCCCACGCTGGCCTGGAAAAACACGGGCAGCCGCAGGCAGCGCTGCCCGGGGGCGGCTGCGTGCGCCCCGGCGCCAGCCCGCCCGCACACGCACAATCGGCCCTTCTCTGCCTGCCCGGCCTGCTTCACCCAGCCGAGAAGGTGCCTGTGGCTCGGTGAGAGCCTGGGCAGGAGCACCATCGCCACGGCTGCTGGACATCCCTTCGCTGTGCCCGGCCAGGAGGGCAGCTCGTCCCCATCTCACCCTATCAATCCCTAAATCCCCGACGCCAGTATTTATTAGTAGTGGGATGTGCTCAGGGCACAGGAGAGGAAACAGCTCAGCCTGGCTGGCAGGGACAAGGTTTCTGCCTGATCTTTGCTGCCAGTCTCCCTGGGAGCTGGCGTGCCCTGGTGTGATAATTGCAGGAGGGTTTTGGTGGAAGCAGCAAAAGCTGGTTGGGAGCAGACCAGGTCTCTTGATCGCTGGCAATCCATGTCAGGAACAGCCTGCAGCTCTCCAGACCCACAGCACAGCCAAAGGAATCAGCATCTTAATCTGCAGCAGGCAGCCACCCTTGGACACCTCCTCCATCCCTCCTCCTTTCATCTCCTCCCTGGGCAGAGGTTTGTCCCTTAAGCCCGTATCGGCTTTCCCTGGCTGTGGGACCACTGCTTAATCTGCCTTATCTGGAATTGCCCAGCAGGACCAGAACCTGGCAAGGAGGCCACTGGACAGATGTGATTTTTTTGAGGCCAACGAAATTCTTGGGAATCTGCAGGCAATCAGGGATGGGACAGGGGTGTAGGCAGGCCTGGGAGTGGGCTGGGACACCAGTGGAAGAAGGCTGGCTGCCATCAGCTGGAGGCCTGACAGAAGGAGAGTCAGGAACCCAGCCCTGTGCCGTGGCTTTTATCTGCTGCAGGACTCCTGTCTGCTCCCAGGGCAGAGGGACACCAGGGAAGGGCTTGGGGGCCCCATAGCTCTCCCAGCCTGTTCTCTCTGTTGATGCAGGTTGTGCCAAAACTCACCCATTCAGAAGCCATTTATTTTTCCTTCTCTGAGTAGCCTGGGCCATTGGTAAGCTCCTTGTTGCCCTTCCCTGTCTCTGGAGCTGCCCTTACTCTGCCTTGGTGGGTCTCCAGGGCAGTCCTGCAAGCCAGGCTCCATGGTCCCCACCTGCCCCAGAAGATGACAGCTCCCATGGCCCCATCCCAGGGGAAACTTCCAAGAAGTCAAGGGAACCATGGTGTCTCCCCTTCTGCCTGGCTCAGAGCTATCCTGCACTGGGATGATGTCCCACATTCCCAGCTCCTTCCAGCTGCAGGGAGCCATCAGCCCTAACCCGGAGGCACCCAGACGTACGGTTTAGGCAGGATATCCGTGGCTGCTCCCACTGCCCGTTGGGCTGGCAGCGGATGGTGGGCACGTGCCGCTGGATGTAGCCTTGCTCGCACTGGTACCGCACCAGGGAGTTTATTTCGTAGCGCTCCTTCTTCCGACCGAAGGTCCTGGCATTCTCCACTGCAGGGGGGTCCCCGCAGGCCACTGTGGGAGATGGGCAGAGACTGGAGAGTGAGTGACAGAGCACCAGCCTGGCAGAGCAGGCAGCTCACACCCCGGGCAGGCTGGGCGTGCAAAGCCTCCTCACTCTTCCGCGAATAAAACCTTAACTCCCTTTGAGATTGCCTCTGTCCACAAGGCTTAGGGGCAGGGGGATATGGAAATTCTGTGATTTGGAATTAAGCAGGGATCTGCCTCAGTGCTCGACTCCTGCCTCCTGGAGAAGCTGTGAGAGCTGAGCATCACAACAGCTGCCTGTGTCTGTGGGAGGACACTGAGCTGGTGTGTGGGAGTGATGCTGCAGCCAGGGTATGACTCTGCCTGGGGATATTGAATCATAATGGCTTGTCCTATTTAGTTTCAAATCCTTGTGAAACTTTCTCCTAGAGCCTTGGCCAGCTTCTTTTTCTAATTCCTTCTATCTCTTTGATCACCCTTTTGCAGTAACAAAACCCACATTCCTGGGCACTGGGCACTCTGCTCCAGACCCACAGCCATCTACTGAGTCCCCCATCCTTGCCAGTATGGCACAGTGTGCTGACCTGTTCCTTTCTTGCAGGTGAAAGGGAGGTGATAGTTGCAGGGAACGTCATTCCATTCGCCTTTCTCATGCCAGATCATCACAACGCAGTCCTCACCCGCCGAAAAGAAGTTATCGGGTTGGTTGGGCCGCCAGTTCTCGTATTGCTGCCGAGAGAGGACAGTCCTTCAGCTCAGGTTGGGCCCTGGTCTCTCCTACTCCCTCCCTCATCCTCACCCCACCTCTCCCACAACTCTCTCCAGCAGAGCCTGTGGGTTGCCAGCACTGCCCCTACACCAGTTATTTCTGTTGTGATTCTGCCCAGGACCCGACCAGCTTTTCTAGAGGCTTGGAAAAACCATGAGCCCTACAAAGTTTAGGGTTGCGTCTACTCAATGCCCAACCCATGTAACCAATGGGGCCCTTCCCACCACCCCGAAAAGCTGGTGCCTGCTCGTGCTGTGGGCTCCAGGCTCACCAGGGAGTGCCCGTCAGACCAGCGGAAGTCGTTCTCCACAGCTCTGTCACTGAGGCCGATCCACTGGTAGTCCTGTGCATGACCTGGAAAAGCAGGAGAGGGAGAAAAGAGTCATGGTTGTCCTACACATTGCTGGAAGCATTTCTTTACCATCTCAGCTGACCCTGGAGCCTCTGGTTCATTCAGCTACCCCCCAGTCAATATTCCCTGATGCCCTTTTCCCTCACATCATGTTTGTCCAGCTCCCTCCCCACTCAGCTGCCATGAGTATGGGTGCACCCATACAAGGATGAGGCTTTGTTAGGATTCCTATGAGCACCAGTGGGGCAAATGGTAGTTTTTACACTTTGGATGATCTGTCTGTATCAGAGTCCAGTGGTTGGACCTTTGTCCAGTCTTAGGCTGCCCTCAGCACTCACTGTTCACAAATTCTTGTTCCTCTGGGGTGATGATACTGCTCAGGTGGGCTTGATGTTGTCGGCACCTGGTCTCTGCATCCATCCAAGTCTCCCTCTCTTCAAAGTGCCTGTAGCAGTGGCCCTGGAACTTGGTCCAGCCTTCCTCACAGTTTTCCAAGTCTGAAACACACAGAGGAGGGATGAAAATGGATTGGTGCATGTGTCTGAAAGCTTTCAACTCACCTCTTAGCAGCTCATGCTCCCATGGCATGGGACAACACATGGTCACTTTCACTAAAAAACACATCCTGATGCTGTTGCCTGTAGGAATTCCCTGGGAATGTTGTCAGAAGGCATCCAAGACACGCAGAGAGGGCAGCCTGTGTGGAAGGCCCTGTGTCTGCAGTGACACAACCAGTGCTACTAGAAAACTTGATGATACAGACTTATTCCTGAGAGATTCAATCCCTGTTCAATCCCTGAAGTCTGCTTTTGAGCAACTGACCAAGAAAGAACACCTCTCTTCTCACTTGTGCAGGCCTGCAGAGATTTCTTGCTTTGGAAAAAACCCTCCAAACCCCATACCCAGATGTCCAGGATCAGTGCATATGTGTTGAAATGAAAGATGGGACCACCAGAGGTGGCTCCATCACTTGATGTGATTCTGGACCTCTGGAAGAGAAATAAACTGACC